CGCAAGATATAAAAAAAACTTAATTTTTCGTGAGGATTTTTGGTTGTTTGTAAATAAAATATATCGACGTGAATTTATTTATTTGTGATTATGGTTTAATAAAAGAACTTGTCAACAGCTGGACTGTATGAGACTTAATAATAGTGCGGTTAATGAAAATAAAAGAACACTGGGAAAACCTAGGCATAGATGGGAGGATAATATTAAGACGGATTTAGGGTAAAATGTTGGAAGGCGTGAATCGGAGTCAGGGCAGGGCCTTCTGAACACTAATGAACCTCCAAGTGCTCCGTGCCGTTAATTGGAGTGACTGAAGAAAACAGCTGAAACCTCAGTGAAACTAACTGGTCTCCGAGCCGAGATCTGAACCAGATACAGAAACAGGTTAGCTAAGTGACTACCTGCGGGGTGGATAACCGGGTTTGGATTCCTGATGAGACCTGGACTTTCGTCTCGTCTCCTTGTGTCAGGAGTAAAGTTTCCGGGGCATGAAGATTACAGCTAACTACATCTAGTGACGAGGTTGAAAAACTGTGGAACTATATATACCTCGATTCCTCCATAAGTAGAGAATTTTTTTTTCCTTTATGCATGAGGTCGAAACAGGTCAGCTTCATGGCCTAATGATGGCGATCATGATTGTTAGCATGTAGTGTGTTTGTACAACACTTTTGAGTTAGTGTCGAGTGCGTTTAACACACGGTTTGTATCCGTAAATTAGTGTACTCTTTGTGACGTGTGAAGAGTGGTAGAACTTCATAAAGTTTTCAGCACTGGCGATGCCATGGACATTCAGGCATCCGGAAGAAGTCTGGGCGACTGTAGGCCAAGGGGAGGGGTGGTGGTGGTGGTGTTTTATTTATAGGCCACTCCTTTCCCGATCTTACGAACGCGTGCTTTTTTAAATCTGCGTTAACGTGCAAAAACGTCTCGTGCACTAAAATTAGAAAGTCAAAACTGTGGACCGCGGGGGTCTTGTCCTAATGTGACCTTGAAATACGAATTTCTATGTATCAGGAAGGGTAAAAGCTGTGTTGTGTTAAGTGTGTGTGAGATGTCTGTACCTTAATAAATGGCTTTTTAAAGATCGAGTTTGTTTCGTAAAAATTAACGTCACGTGAAGACCATCGAATTTTTTTTTAATATTTACGTCACAATTTCTTGGCATCGATAATATTAAAAAAAAGGTTACTATGAAACGGGAGATATATGAC